GGTGCCTCCTTTTCAAAGTCCTATACTCTTATAATAATGTATATATATGGTGGATTTTAACATAATCCTAATCCAATGGTCAAAATAAAAAGTTACATTATATTTTACATCTTAATGGTTTGACTCACTCAAACTAGACGATTGAACCCCTGACTCAAAAATTTGAATCCAAAGTGGTTCCGTTTCTGGGTCAATTTTTAAACATTGATTTTAATCAAAAGAAAGTTCCATAATCTTATTCATATTTTTGAATAGTAATGTAAATATAGAATTATAGATGTGTTCACTTTTTTCTATTTTTTTATATTTTTGTGTGTAAAAATAATTCCGATATGTCACACTTACATTTTGTTTAATATGATAAATACATGATATACATGTGCCTGAATGTTTTTTTTTTTATTTGCAAAATTTATGTATTTTTATATTTTATTAATTTTTATTATTTATTTATGACATTAAAGGTTAACACATTTGACTCAAAAGTTGAACTTTTTATATTTCATTTTCTGTCAGTTCTAAATTATGTATTTCATTTTCATTATGAATAAAAATAAATATTGTTTATTACACATATTTTTCTAATTTGATTAATAAAAATGTATTTCATTTTCATTATAAATAAAAATAAATATTGTTTATTACACTTATTTTTCTAATTTGGTTAATAAAAATATCATAAATGTGTCTAATTTTTCCTACATCTTTTGTAAATTTTTATTTTAAAAAAGTTTATTACCAAACTATGACTCCATAGGTTGGTCAATTTGATTTGGATGGTTGAATTGCTTAGCTACCACTTGGATAAAGAATGGTTTTGTTTTTGAGTCAGTTTTAAAATATATGAATTTATATTGTTAAAAATATTGACATGGATTTAAGGGTAAAATACAAAAACCTCCCCTGATGTTTCTGACAATCATAAAAACCTCTCCTGTATTTTCGCTTTGAAAAAAATTACAAACACTATTGGGTCCAATACAGGTCTAGGTTCTTAGTAATTCTTATCAGGTCAGTTCTAATTCTACCTAGACCCAACCTGTTGATAGCCCTATCTCTCTCTCACTATCCACTCCCACTATAATACTATTTTTATTTTTTATTTATCTTTCTTTTCAAATTTTTATTTATCTTCAACCATTCTCTCCGTGTACTTTTAATATTATTTACAAGATACCAACCTAGAAACTTGTGGGCCAAATGTACACTCAAGGCCAAGGCTTGGCTTGAAGAAAAAACCTAGGCCCAAGCCTTTAATTTTTGAGTTAGGTCGGGCTTAGATTGGTTGGGCCCAAGCTTGATTTGGAAATTTGTGATCTTGATGTGAACTCAGGTTGGACAAGTATTTGGCCAAAGCTTGGGCTAAAAATTTGTAGGGCCAGGTCCAGGCCAAGTCTAAATACAAAACTAAGGACCAAGTCTAGAATTTCTGGGCCAAACTAGCCCTTTTCATCTATATCTCTCTAACGTCTCAATCGAATTCCATGGGACAAAAGCAAGGCAATATTTTAAAACATTCTCTCTCCTCTCACTCCCATCCCTTCCCACCCTCTCTCCCTCCCTCCCCTCAACCCTTCTTCCAACAATATACACTTGGTAAAATGTCTTAGTGCATGTCATATGTTAAATTACTTAATTTCACTTAAATATTTTTTAAGATTTTATAAATTATTTTAAAGTAATTAGATATAATTATAAAATTATTTGTTTTAAAAATTGAGTAATTAATGTAATTTAAGTATTTAAATAGATTAATTAAATTAGTAATTAATTTACCATATTTAACGAATTAAGTTAATTAACCAAATTAACTAATTAAATTATGCTAAATTAATTTGCTTTATTTACCCAAATAGCTAACTTTAAATCTGCCTATATGAGTAAAATTGCTTATTTAATGTGTTATTGCATTTAGGGTTGGCAACTCTGATCCCAACCCATTTGACCCACCAAACCCATCAACATGAAAACCCACCCATTCCAATGGTGGGTCAATATGGGTCAAGTGACCCATTAGGGTCAGGGCGGGGTTGGGTTTAAAGGTTACCCATAGACCCTAAGTTTAAACTTTGTTAAAAAATTTCTTATCCTCCTAAAATTTCCTTCTCATTCTCTTTGCTTACTGTTTAGGGCTTTCTACTGAGAGCTTGATCAAATTTCAAAACCACCGATAACCATTCTCGCCACTTCCATCCTCGCTATTTAGGACTTCTTCAAGGTGCATTTTTGCGATCACCACTATCACGAGATCAAATCAACCCCCCCACAAGATTGCCCCCGACAACATTCCACAGTACATTGTCGCCATGTATTGGGAACATTTTCCTATAATAATATAAAAAATGATGATGTCATCATCAGGAGATATTCCCAATACACGATGGGATTGTGCTGTGGGACGTTGTGGGGGGCTGAATTGAAGTCCACTCTCGCTGTTGCCAGCAATAACGCCTTAATTAGTGGAAGCTGGAGATTTTGAAGCTTTGAATCGTTGCACCATGATCATTGCCACCGACAACAACACCTTAATCAAGCGGTTCAAAACGCTATATCCCAAAGCTTCCCATAGGTGCTCCTCCTAGTCCTCACCTAGCTTTGATGCAACAACCTTGTTGTAACCCTGTTTCAACAGCCTCACACCAGTGTTTTCCTCCCCAATGTGCATGTTTCTCCCTCCCCTGTTTTCTTATGTTTTTCATTTGGAAGGTTTAGTGGAGTAGAGGAGGAGAAAACAGGGGGCGAACAATTTGAATAGATGATGTTGGCAAGTGAGGTAGGACCATCTCATCTAGGAGGCATTTTCGCTGCCAAATTTTCTTAAGATTTTTATCATTTTTTGTATATTTTTATGTGATTATTGTTTTAAAAATCATTTTTAGTTTATATATATAACAAGGAACAAATGATTATTATTTTATCAATTTATATGATTATTTTCTGCAATTTTCTTTTATAGTAGAAAAATATAATTTATAATTTTTGGTTGAATTTTTTTGTTTGAAAGGTTTTATCATTTTCTTTATTTTTTCCCTTTTTCTTACCTCAAACTTTAAATTCCGATCAGTACGTTGTACTTTGGCTCGAGTAACAATTTGGTCCCTAAACTTTAAAATGCGACAATCTAGTACCCGAAATTTCAAAATATGATAATCCAGTACTTGAATTTTCAAAATGTGACAATCTAGTACCTGCTGTTAACCAGTATGTTAATCAGCCGTTAAGTGACATTTGAAAAGACACAAATGCCTTTCGAGTGTCATCTAATTATCTTTATCAACCATCCATACATTAACAAAAAAATGAACAGTCCCAAATTCTAGCTTCTTCTAAATAGTCACCAACTTTTTTTAATAAAAGAAGCTAGGATTTGGGGGTGTTCATTTTTTGTTAACGTTTGGATGGTTGATAAAGATAATTAGATGGTACTTGAAGGGCAGTTGTGCCCTTTCAAATGTCACTCAACGGTTGATTAACAGATTGGTTAACAACAGGTACTAGATTGCCACATTTTGAAAGTTTGGGTACTGAATTGTCACATTTTAAAGTTTGGGGACCAAATTGTCACTCAAACCAAAGTACAAGGTATTGATCGGGAATTTTCCCTTTTTATATTCTTTCTATAATTATTATTTTTAGTTGAAATATATAATTTTTGAATTTTGTTATTTTATTTATTATTTTGAAATATCTAGATATTTGATTGAAATTTTATCATTTTATGTGTGTTGAGCAATATCTATCAAATTTTGCATTTTTCTGTAGTTTTATATTTTTGCTGCAACACTTTTTGCAATTTTTCAAAATTTGAGTTTTTTTTCCCCTATATAGATTCGAGGGTTGTGGTAAAAACGTTTATTTTAAACTAGAGGGTCAAATGGGTGGGTTACGATGGGTTAGGGTCAAAGTGGGTTACTAACATGGGTGGCAAATGGATTAGTGGGCCAATATGGGTGGGTTGGTACTCAACTTCTCAACTTACACCCAACCCACCCATTTGCAACCCCTCCTCGGCTACTAGACTTGTTCATTGGTTGGGTCGGGCTTTGCTTATGTATCAACAAAATACATTCAGGCTTGAGACCGAGCCCGACTTGACCATTGGGCCTAGGTCTTGAGCTTGAACACGAGTCTAGCCAAAAATTTGAAGATGGATTTTTTTATTTAATTAAAAAGTGTTTTATTTATAATAAAAGCTCTCAAAACTAAAAAATAATAAAAAATCTCACTATTACTTGTAAAAAAAGAAGAGAAACAAAGAAAAAAAATATATATTTAAATAAAATATATTTTTTATTATATAATATATATTATCAAATCAAACTCGAACTTGAACCAGGTTTTTTTGAGAAAACCCAAATTTGTGGGTATAAAATAATGTCCAAGGCCAAGTTAAAATGAGATTGAAGCATGGCTCGGGAACCATCCAGACAACCGGTTCTATCTTACCCCAAACCCAATCTTTAGCCAAAAACCGTTGAATTGGTCAACGACCCATTGACCTAGGCGATTAAACCATTGACCTATCGACTCATCCAATGATTTTTGACTATTTTTTATTTTTATTTTTTAAATTTYRTTGTTAGARTAGATTATCCATTCGAATCGAACAATTGAACCATCAACCCAAAAAGTGATGGCTAGAACGATTCTATTTCCAAATCGTTTTTTAATAGGATGAACAGAAACAAAGAGAGATCGAGCTACCGGCTATGAATAGGTTTATGGGCTACGCTAGTATAATTCTGAATTGAATTTTTCACGAACCTAGTTGGAAAAGTCGTGAAAAAGCTTGATTTGTATGTAGTCTCAGCTTGCATAGAAATTTCAATTTCCTTCCATGGGCTTCGGAAGGAAAGTTGGTCCATTGCAAAAGATAATGTATGTAGTTTGTGCTTTGTGGTACGAAAAATATTTGTGCCCCACACATCTCCCCCTTTCTCTCTCTAGCTAGTAGCTACACGGCTACACCGAAGTCTCGCACTCTCTCTCCCTCCCTCCCTCCCTCCCTCTANCTCCCTCCCTCTACACAACATGAAATAGTGCAGTGAAAATCTCTCTCTTCTTCTCCTCTTCTTCATTTGAGATTCATTTGTGTTTTCTGCTGGTATTAATCAGTGAAGGACGAGAGATACAGTTGAGGTACTACCGACCTCTACACAACACGAAAATAGTTGTAGGAGTGAAAGGTAAGATCCATCTCTCGCTCTTCATCTTCTTCTTCATTTTTGCACTGACGAACGATTCATTTGTGTTTTCTGTCATTTTAGGGCATTAATCAGTGAAGGACGACAGAGACAGTTGATTCATTTGTGTTTTCTGCTATTTTAGGGCATTAATCAGTGAAGGACGACAGACACAGTTGAGTTACAGCCGACCTCACCCACTTATATTCCACCTCTATTTAGGGTTTTTTTCCTGCCATTTTAGGGCTATTCTGGACAGTATGATTCATTTTAGGGCGTTTTCTCTGCATAAAAATTTGACAGGAATTGAAGATTAGAAGGTCTTAATCTTGTTTAATTTTGAACTCAACTAGATTCTGTTTTTCTTCTAGTTTGTTTGTCATTTTTCTTCTGGTTAATTGAACTCAAACCTCATCCTAATTTTCTTAGGTCCACTGTAAAATTCCGCTCTGTCATGATGCAGAGGATTGTTAGTCCAAACAAAATTTTTGTTTTAGACATCCTCTCCATCTTCGTTTCTAAGTTTGGAGATTAATCCCAAGTGGACCAATACACGCATGAGACAACGGAAGCACCCGGTTTTTGTTGAAGGGATGGAAAGAACTGAGACCAACAACTCAGATAGAGAGATGGGTTGGCCATGGCTGTGGAATTTGTCTGGTATACCTAACTAAATGGCACGCTTCAAGGTCATGGTGCTCATGAAGTTTAACAAGTGGCTCCACACATGGGTTTCTAGCCTTCAGCAGCCCATTAGCTCCCTCTTCTATAAATTCCATGAGATCAACTCCTTGAGTGTGTGTAGGAGGGTGTGGGAGGAGGGAAGTGCTGCAGGGTTAGTATATTCATGCACATATGAACACTCACAGTGGAAAATGAGAGCTCTTTATCCCGACCTGGCTATGTCCAATGCCCAAGTAGCACTCACTTATCCCAGCAAGAGAGTAATCCAAAAACCCCTTTTAAGATCTAGTCTTGTTTAACTAAGCACTTAGAGGAGTAGGAAAGAAAGAATAAGAGCAGAGAAACAAAGAGAACAAGGGAAGATATATTTGGGGAAGTAAGACTTCTTGTATTGCTACATATGGTCTTGCAAATGATGGAAGGAGACCTATCTATAGTGATTCCACTTCTTTAACCATTATTATGTACATGGCACATCATATACACAATAATCTTTTTTCTAAGCATGCCACTTATCCCTTAAGTGCCATCTTACTCGATTTAAGTGACACCTTTTATTTAGGTTATATGTCACTTCATGCTATTGGTGAGGTGTCCTTATATGAACTCATCCATTTGTGTCCCATGAGGGTAAAACCCATTTTTAAAGCCCATTGATGGTCTTCATGTGGTCATTTATGAACAAACTTAACCTTGTAGAGCTCATGCTGGTGCAATTGCCTTTGCTGGGTTAACTTAACAAACAGTTTAAGGATTTTTTTTTTTTGGATCAATAACAAAGAACTTTCATTAATTAAGTATAGAAAATATTTAAATACAATGGTTGGGGGAGGTAAACTCTCTTAACTCTCCCCCAAAGAGAAAATTACAATGTAGCACAAAACAAATGACTTCTTCCCACCCCTTGTTTGGACAGTGCATCTGCAAATGAATTGGCACATCTTTTAACCCACTGCATACACACTTCCATTCCTTGAGTTAACCACTTGAATTATCTTCATTCATTAATGTATGTCCAAGACCCATCATTTGYTTTCTCTATCCAGCTACCAATWACCACTTGTGAATCTCCTTCAATGATGAACCTATTTATATTTAGTTCCTTAGCCCTTTTCACCCCCACTAACAAAGCCAGAATTTCTCCTCTCAATGAATCCCCGAATCCAATTAGTCCCGAAAAAAGAGCTATTATTGAACCTGCCTCCAATCTAAAAACACCTTCAACCCCTAATGGCCATGGATTTCCTTCACTGCTCCTGTCAAAGTTGAGCTTGATAAAGCCTTCCGATAGGGGATGCCATGAAGGATGGGCGATGATTCTGCTTGGAGCTGAAGCTGCTATTTCTTGCTAGTTGAGCATCATCAGATATGTTCCATGTCTTTACCCATTGGGCAACYCTCAAAGTAATCACCTCTATGATTGTTTCTCTGCTTCTTTCCTTTTCAGMAAATATTCTTTGGTTCCTTTCCTCCCAAATTGTCCAATAAACCGCTGCCCTGGTGCACAAATGCACATCCATAGGATTCTTACCCACTTTTTGATCTGACTACCAATAGAATAGACGAAGAGGCTTTGAATGCTTGAAGGGGGAGTCCACCTACAACCAAATAAAGAGAGAAACCATTCCCCAATAGACTTGTTCATGGGCCAGGTAGCCTGACGGGCCGACCTGATCTAAGTCAGGCTTGGACAGGATTTCAGGCCCGTGGGCTCGGGCCTAAAATATTGGGCTCAAACTTATTTTGGACCGGGCTCGGGCTTTCTCAAAAAAGTCCGGCCCGACTTAATAATGTATTATATAATAAAAATATATTTTATATAAAAACACACACAGACACACACACACACACACACACACATATATATATATATATATATAATAATTTTTCTTTATTTTTCTTCTCTTTTTTTCAAGTAATTGTGAGATCTTTCATTATATTTTAAGGTTTTGAGGTCTTTTAATATAAGTAAAATAGCTTTTAATTGAATAAAAAAGGAAAAAAATATTTTTTTTTTCCAAATTTTTGGCTGGGCTCGGGATTTATATAAGGGCTGGGCTCGGGCTCGGGCATATTCTGTTAATTTAGAGGCAAAGCTCGGCTTGGCCCAACCTATGAACAGGTATTGTCCCAAATAAAAGAAGTAAAGGGGCAAGATATTAGTTAGTGAAAGCAATACTCACCATTGGCTTTACAAAGGGTACATCGGTTCGGGAACAAGCATAAAAAAGGCTACTTTCGTTGAATTTGATCACAAGTATTAATTCTTTGCAAAGCTATTTCCCAACATAGTGCTCCAACCCAAGGTGGGACCGGTCTCCCCCACACTTTTTTAGTAGGAAAGGGATTGGCAGGATTAGGAGTAGATTGAATTAGGGCATTGGATAAAGAGGCATAAGTGAAAGAGCTAGAAGAGGAAAGGGTCCAAATCCTAGAATCCACCCTAGAAGGGTCCAAGAGGACCTTTTGAAGTACCTGAACCAAAGACAACACCAAATCCAACTTTGATTCTCTAAGACCTTGTCTAAACCCCAAATTCCAATTAAGCTCAGGTCTTGGGCCAAAGGAGGAAACGAAGGTGGAGGAAGGCTTATTTTTGGATCTAGAAAGAGAGAATAAGGAAGGGCTTGGTCTTTATGCGGTACCTCCCCCACCCACACATGTTCCCAAAACCTCACCAAATTTTTGGAGCACAAGTTATACACAACAAAGGGTAGAAAACAAGGAAGGATGGCATGAATAGCTTTCCAAGGTGCTGCAGTAGTATCTTGGGCCAAAATTCTTGTGTCCTAGCCATTAGTCGCCAGCCCATGTATGCTCTTTATCACCTTTGTCCACAACTTGTCCTGATTCACTGAGAATCTACTCAACCATTGCCCCAACAAAGCTGTATTCCTCTTTTAAATGCTCCCAATACCTAGACCCCTTGAATCCTTACTTCTACTTACCACTTCCCATCTAACCATATAGTCCCTCTTTTCCTCTCTAGGCTCTCACAAAAAATCCCTTGTTAACTTGTCTAACCTTCTACAAATCCTTACGGGCATCCTAAAATCCGATAGGAAGTAGACCGACAGATTGTCCAAAGTTGATTTGATCAAGGTGATTCTTTCACCAAGAAAGAGGTAATTCCTTTTCTAGGAGGCTAGCCTTTTTGAGAACCTATCCATCACCGAGTTCCAAAAGTTCACACTTCTAGGTTGCCCCCCATAGGTAGTCCCAAATAATTCAGTGACCACTGGCATACCTCACAACCCAAAATTGTTGCACATTCAGATACCTCTCTATCATCCATGTTAATGCCTGCCACACAACTCTTACTAAAGTTAATTTTTAGATTTGACATCTTCCAAAAAACTTGGACCACCTCCTTCAAATTCCTCACCCAATTTAGATCGCCTCCCTCACAAACTAAAATGGTATCATCAGCGAACTGCAAACGAGTAATAGGCACTCTTTCTCTTTCCACTCTCCAGCCTCTCACCAAACCCCTCAAATATGCTCTTTGGATAAGGATACCTAGCACTTCAGCTACTWGGGTGAATAAGAAAGGAGAGAAGGGGGTCCCCTTGTCTAATACCTCTAATGGTTGGAAAGTGATCCACTACTRTACCATTTAACAGAATTGAGTAATGGCATGTACTTATGCAGCCTTTAACCCACTTGCACCACCTATCTCCAAAGCCAAAGTTCCTCATCCCTTCCAACAAGAAATCCCAATCCATCAAATCATATGCTTTCTCTAGATCGAGCTTACAAATCAAACCTTTCTTTCCAGATCCTTTTAGGTTCTCCACACTCTCATTATCAATAAGGATTTGGTTGATGATCTGCCTATCCATGACAAAAGCACCTTGATTTAAGGATATAATAGAAGGAAGCACTAATTTAATTCTTCTTGACAACACCTTAGCAATAATTTTGTATAGCTTATGGACCAGATTGATAGGCCTAAACTCCTTTGGTTGGATTGCCCCAACTTTCTTCGGAATTAGWGCAATGAAGGTAGAATTTAATCTTGGATTTATTACCCCTTTGCTAAAAAAATTCATCATACACCTTTTGGATATCCTCCTTCAAAATGTCYCTGTAGTCTTGGTAGAAGGCCATAGTAAATCCATATGGACTTGGTGCTTTAGATCTATCCATTGAAAAAACTGCTTCCTTTTATTTCCTTCAAATCAAACCTTCGTTTAACCAACTCTTTTGCTCTCCCGATACTCTTGGCCAGTCCAACCCTTCCACACGCCTTCCAATTAGAGGTTTTCTAAAGATATGGTTCACAAAGGCTCTAGCAATTTCGTTTTTGTTGATCAATAATCTCACCTTCAACTTCTAATTTAGAGATGATGTTTTTCCTCTTTTTGTTATTACCTAAAGCATGGGAGATTTTTGTGTTTTTATCCCCCTCYGTTATCCATGTTTGCCTAGATTTCTATCTTCGACTTATCCCTTCTTTGATTAGAATATCCTCCAATTCCTTACTTAGTCTCTTTTTCTCTTGCTTTTCTCTTTCTCCGAAGATTCCATCATTTTCTTTGCTGTCCAGAAGCTCAATATTTTCGATTACCTCTTGCTTTTTTTCTTCTAGTCTCCGGTCTCCCAAAATGCTGTACATTCCATACCTTGATTTTTTTGCTTTCAACTCTTTAAGCTTATAATGGAATTTCATACCCTCCCACTAATCACTAGGGCTACTCTTTGTCCACCATTCCTTTACCTTCTCTCTAAAACCTGGGCGACATAGCCACATGTTCTCAAAACGAAAAGGGGTTGGGTCGCTTCCTCTTTAAGTCTTAACTTATCCTTGGATAGGGTGACAGGCCAATGATCAAGGGTTATCCTAGGTAAAGCCCTTGAAGCCAACTCTCTCTAGTTAGCTTCCTAATCCATTGTAAATAAAAATCTATCAAGCTTAGAGCAAATTGGGTTCGACTACAAGTTGGATCAAGTGAAATTAGTACTCAAAAGGGGTAGCTCCTTCAGCTCGCAATTTATGAACTCATTGAACTTTCTCGTATTGGTGGTTACTCTTTGCCTCACCTTGTTGGATTTCTCAACAAATCTTATCACGTTAAAGTCCCCTTCAATACACCATGTTTTGTCTAGTGATTTAAAAGGTGTGCCTAGGCGCACAAGTGAGGTGCATTTTAGGGTAGGTGCCTTGGCCAGGTCCTAGGCGTAACTCTTTCAAAACGCGCACGCCTGATGCGCCTTGTGCCTCAAAGGGCGTGGCATAAAGGCGGCTTGTAGAATCAGAAATGTAATATGTTTTACATCACATTAGCTAGTTGAAGTAATGCAATTGAGAAAAAAAGAGATTGTGGGTTTTACATGCTTGAAAATGTTTTATATGTTTGATTTTATTTTTAAATTCTCATTTGAATATGCTTTACATGTTATGTTTATGCATTTTATTTTTAGATGATAGGTTTTTTAAATCATTTATTTTTAAATTTAAGTTTATATTTTTATTAATATTATGTTTAATATTTTTTTGAATTTTTAGAATTTTTTTTTTAATTTTTGCTCCTTGCTTCAAAAAGGCATGTGCCTCTCGCCTTGCGCCTTGGGCGCAAATTGACCCCTGTGCCTTTTTTGCGCCTTGCGCTTTCATAACACTGGGTTCGTCTCACAAATCTTGTATATCTCCTAGCTCTTTCCACATCTCATTCCTCTCTCTATACCCATTAGGTTTGTAAATGCTTGTTAACACCCATTCAAATCCATCATCCTCTTGTTGGAATTTGAGAGACACATAAACTTCCCCATCAATACCTCCACACCTTGCAATATATTCTTCTTCCATAGTACCACCAATCCTCCAAAGGATCCCCATGATGGCGACATTACCCAACCTTTACCCCTAGACCTCCAAATACCTCTGGCCCATCTATCATCAAAAGCCAAGAGCTTGGTCTCTTGGAGCAGAAGAACATCTGGTTTCTCCTTCTTCGGCATTCCCTTGATTAGTGCTCTCTTCCTCGTGCTCTCTAATCCTCGAACATTCCAGCTAACCAGTTACATTTATCAACTACAATTTTTATAATCCCTACATCAAACAGCCAACATACTTGCCTCCTCTTCTTCTGCCCTTCCTCTCACTAAACTTCCTATCTCCCTCCACATCAAGCTTTAGCCTCTCTACCTCACTCATCTTCCTTTTTCTCACCTTCAGTTTTCTTAAGCCTTATGTTTTGTTCTAAGCTTTCTTCTATTTTTTAATCAAACTATTAACCTGTGTTTTAAAACTGGATCCATTTCCTCCATAACCAGTCTAATGATGCATTAGACAAAAAAGTTAGCTGTCTGAAAATTTTTACTTTGATGGCAATTTGCAATTAGAATGACTTTTTATCATTGCCAGCATATGCAATTATGGTGCCACCTGCACTGAGTCAGAACTGACTATTGATGCTAACTATCTTGTTTAGACATAACTGATCTGGGTTCCTGTTAATATAGCAGTGATAGGAACAAAGAAACCATACATTCCATCACAGGAACAGATCTGGCATTTAATTCCTGAGCGAATCCATGGATTAACCTTAAGGTTCTCAAGTTCAAGACCAAGGAGATTCTTTCTTAAATGGAACCCAACAAAGGTCAGGTTAGATTTAGTATGGTTTCTTAAATGGAAACCATACCTTAATGTTCAATACCCATGCCATGTGCCAAGGTAACATTGGCTTCTTTTCTAGCTGGTCTATTGTCCTACCCTGTTCTGCCATATTAAGAGATGATATTGGTAAATCTAAACTGTTGATCAGAGTCGTCAGGCAAAGGATGCTTACCCTTGGCCATTTCTTCACTCCTCATCCATGGCAAGGGCTAAGGCTTTTTGTTCTGAAACTTGACCACATAAATGGAAGACTGGTTAATGAATGTACTCAGTATGAGGGAACTATATGCATGCATTTTGTTTGAGGCATATTATCGAAGTGATAAGTCTTGAACCATTTATGATGGGCTTTCTAATTTGATTTAAGAGACTTTATTAGGTTTTATTTTTTATTGGACAACAAACTTTATCTAGAAGGATGAGATAATTAACTTATTACCAACATAATGTCTTGAAAGCCTTTGTTCTAAGTTTTTTTTTTTGTTTGAAACTAAGTAACTTAAGTAGAAAAGAGTTTCTTGCTTATGCAGTATAGGTACAGATGTATGTATATATAGGGAAGCTCCTTTTGCCAAAAAAAGTGTATGTATATGGAAGCCGGTTGGCTAGTTGGATCATTTAGTGAGCTTTTGTTAAGGACCAAGAAATCTTCTTACACATGACAAAATTAGTTTGGAGCTCAAAAGGAGTCTCGAGGTTCCTATTCCCCACCCAATATTTATTGAAAATATTTTGGCCCAAAACATATTGCCATTTGTTTATCGGTCCATTTTACATTAAAAATTTAAATCTTGAAAATGTAAATGTAAGAAAGTGTATTGTGGAGGAAAAATCAACATGTATGCTCTTTCTAGGGATTTAAGATGTAGAGTGATATTGTCATACATTACTTATTACCTCATAAGTATACCTCTATTTACACATTTCCAGACCTTAAAATGAACCCATTGTCCTCGATCATTTGATTCCTGTGAATATTGAAGTCTTGAAATTTGAAGTAACAAAATCCTTTAAAGCAAGACATACTTTTTCTTGAAAATATTCAAAAAATAAAATAATATTAATACAAAAAAATGCAAACTTTTGGTACCAAAAGAATATAAAAATAATGCAAACTTGATTTTTAAAAGAAGTTAAGTGTTTTAAAAAGTCCATTGACTCAAATAAACTTAACATGAATATATTTAAAGTGAAAATGTAGAAGTAAAAGCATACATATGTGAATTGTGCTTAAGTGCTTCAAACACTCAACAATTCAAGCATGTAAAACGTTCTATCTGGTTATCATCATCATCATCTCTTGGTTGCATTGCTTGAGGTAGCTAGTGTGATGTTAAACATCTTGCATTTCTAATTCTAGGAGATCTGCCCTCTACCTCTGTAAAGGCTCCTTGAGGCAAGCCCAAAAATGTATATGCAAGGGTTTGGGGCAGTTCCCCTAACTTAATTTTTTTGTCCTATATATATATAAAGATTGTTTTTTTCTTTTGTGATTTTAATTGCAGTTCATTCTCTTTTAGGATTAGGATTTGGATATTATTTGATGAAAAAAAGTCTTGTATTAACTATTAAGAAGGATGAGGAAACCTGGCTGTTCTTGCAAGGTGCCAACCAGCTGGTTGGTAAGGTCTCCTGCTGGTCGTAACAGAGACTTGGGATCRAATCCCGCCTGCACCTGGGTTGGGGGATGGGCTACCCCCAGTTGTGTAGCCCTTCAGAAGAAAAAAAAAAGGGCTGTTCTTCCAGGCAGCAAAAATTATCCAACACAATTCCTCTCATTACTGGATGATGAATTTTGAGTATTGTCTCTTATGGATGTCCAAAGGAATACCACTGTCTTTGTTRGGGCCCTTATTTCTCAGATCCAATTCTGTGGGACAGCTTKAAAGTCTGCTTCCATCAGCTTGTTGTAAAAAGACCTCAAAGTAAATAGCTCATCCCTTGCTTGCTGTCCACTATCTTCTATCCATGGAATTTGGCTGAGGGATTTCGTGACTAAGCATCTGGAGGGGGGGGGGGGGGGTTAGCTCTTCAGAGTCCTAATAAAAAAATTGTCCTAAGCCTAAGGGCCCAAACTAGTTGGCTTCTCACGCTGTCATAACMGTCTTTAATGGTCACATTCTGGTCTTGAACTACTAACATTAGGTGTAAAAAACACCTTTAGAAGTGGGGCAAATGGCTGATATGGACTGTGCATTGAATGGCCAATCCAGTGAATCTGATGGATAGTTTGTATAGGTGATGGTGTTCCTCCATATGGCARAAATAGGTGGTCTCATGTAGGGAGGCTCCATAGTGATCCTTTTTTTAGTAGTCCATAAAAATAGATACATAAAAGTACAATCGGCTCAACTGAAAAAGTCTTGTCACAATTGTATGGATTGGCTAAATGAATCTTGTTTCATGCCCTTCCACTGTATTCAAGGGCCATATCCCATTTTAGATTCTAAATCCTCAAATTGTTCCTCACTAACTCAACCCATGTCCCTTTTGGCCTGCCCCTAKCTCCTCGAAAACCATCAACTTGAACTTGATAACCTCTTATATGTGCAGTAGGCAGTCTTCCATCCACATGCATGTGCATGCATGGACATACATATGTACAGGCTCCCATAGCAATGACATATTTTGGTTCGGGCATTTGCTCATATAATCTCACTAAAGAAGGAGCCATTTTCA